AGCAACCGGACATACAGTACAGGGCTGACTAAGAGCTCCTGTTGTCAGACCATTCAATGCTTCTATCTTCCTTATTACATCTATAGGAGCATGTCCAGGTCTCTTATGCCACAAACTACAAATACTAGAGACATGTGTTCTAGATGAAATACTGGAAGCAGGTAAAGAACTAGATTCATCATTTGCCGAGACAGCATGGGACTTCATTTGTTGTGTTGGCACATTTATTTGTTGGCTGAGATGAGTTTGCAACAGAGGTACTCCCACGCAGTATGTATAAACCATGTTCTTCTCTACCAATCCCCTTCACCTGACCACTAAAGAGGTCCTGAAAGATACAGAAATCAGGAAAGAAGCCAACCACACATTTTAGTTCCTTAGTAATCTTTGAAAATGAGAGTAGGTTGAACTTAAAGTAAGGAATATACAGGACATTAGAGATTTCATGGTTGTTCAATACAGAGGCATTTCCTGTGTGTGACACTGATGCCACACTACCAGTAGGTAATTGTACTTTGTTTTCTTCTGTGTTTGGGAGTGCTTTATAATCATGTAGTATTTCAAGGCTGGAAGTCATATGATTTGATGCCCCAGTGTCAACAATCCAATTGTCATTAACACAATGAGACATAAATGCATTCACTTTGTTTAGAATACCTGCAGCTGTTGACTTGTTTAAAGCTTCTGATCCTTCTGTGCTTCCCTTGGATAATAGGTGAACTATTTGCTGATACTGTTCAGGGGTGAAAACAGGAGTAGACAGTGGCATTTGCTGACAGAATGCACGCTGACTAGCTGGCTGTGTTTGTGAGACACCTGCATTAGACTGACTACCAACTCTACCTTGTTGAACCACATTAGAAGCTACATTATTTCCCATACCATATCTGTCTGCATAGTTCAGTTCTGGGCTGTACACCTGATTAGCATACTGTCCACCATTAACACCTTTCTTCCTGGACTTGAAATTAGGAGGATATCCAATCAACTTATAACAGTTTTCCTTGCTATGTCCCTTGTAATGACAATATTCACATTGAACTTGATTCCTTTTCTGTTTGTAGCCTCCAGTGCTATTTGTCCCTTTGTTACTGTACATGGCTAAATTCTTTAGAGCTTCAGAAACTTGGGCTACTTGTGGCATATTAGCAAGATTTCTCTGACTTTCCTGATCAACTAACATAGAGTATGCTCTGTTTATACTAGGGAGAGGAGACATCATCATAATTTGGCTTCTTGACTGAGAGTAGGACTCATTCAGTCCAGTAAGAAACTGAAGCAGTCTTTGATACTCAAAATGTTGTGCATACATCTTTGATTCAGGACAAGGACAACCAGGACATGGCATAAGAGCATCAAATTCATCCCAAAGTTCTCTTAGTTTTGAGAAATAGTCAGTCACTGTCATAACTTCCTGAACTAAGGTGTGAACTTCTCTATGTAGGTACAGAATTCTGGACCCGTTAACTTTGTCAAATCTCTCCTTTAGATCTTTCCATACTTTATGAGCACTAGATGCATATAAGACACTACTCAACAAACTTGGTCTCACAGCATTCATTATCCATGACAAAACGATAGCATTCACTTTCTCCCACAAATCATGAAGTTCAGGTTCAAACCTAGACTTAGGAAACCTACCATCAACAAAACCTAACTTGCCTTTACCTAATAAGCCAATTCGCATTGCATGACTCCACAAGGCGTAGTTATCAGATCCAGTAAGCTGAAGAGAGATCAGAGAACTACCTGGTGTGTCAGTAGGCTGTAGGTACAGAGGATGGTTGTGATCGTCAGCAGGAAATGAGGAGCTGGCCACAAAATTGCCATTCTCTGAGGTCGTAGCTATAGCAATACGAGTTGGAGTGGTAGAGGCATTGACTTGATCACCTTCAATCGCCATTGGTACTAGAAAATTATCTTCGAAGAAAGAACAACTTCCAAAACCCTAGCTTCGATTCTGAGTTACTCTGAGGCAATTCTGCAATTTGAGATGCAAAATTGAAGTAACCTAAGCGAAGAAATTAGTTTGCTCGTTCAAATTAGATCTTATATTGATGGCTCTGATACCATGATAGAAGCCATGGGAGATCAACTGAAGCTAGAAAGAAGTGAGAGATTCAGAGAGGAAATTGGAGAAGAAAGAGCAGAGCTTCTTCATTTCTGAATAATCAACTGTACAAGGGCTACAGTATTTAACTACTAACTACTTAACAAAAAATAACCGCCTCTTACAAACTAATTATCTAACTAACTCTAGTTAACATGATAATTGAAATAAGGCAAAGGATATGCTTTCCAACTATCCAAATTCATATCTACGCAAATGATGCGTGTAAACAGTATTATATGAAAAATTATGTCGTTATCGGTAACATAATTCTTTAATTCACAGTATGTTTGAATAAGTTAAACTATATGGGCCTAAAGTACCTTTAATATAACTTTACA